AGACAGTTCATACTGGACATGTATTCAAAAGGGTGTCTCTCTGAACTGACCCACTAATTTATTTTAAATTAAACCCCCTAACCTTCCTCCTCCCTGGCCCACTTTTTTTTTTTTTTTTAAATAAACTAGTATGATTTCAGCTGGGCATAGTGGCTCATGACTTGTAATCCCAGCACTTGGGAAGCCAAGGTGGGTGTCGATCACTTGAGGTCAGGAGTTCGACCAGCCTGGACAACATGTGAAACCCTGTCTCTACCAAAAATACACAAGTTGGCCTGGTGTGGTGGTGCACGCCTGTAATCCCAGCTACTCGGGAGACTGAGGCACGAGAATCACTTGAGACCAGGAGGTGGAGGTTGCAGTGAGCCTAGATTGCACCACTGCACTCTAGCCTGGGAGACAGAGTGAGACCCTGCCACAAAAAAGAAAAAAAAAAAGGTAATACAATTTGGATTTGGTATTAAAAAAAAAAATTCCTCTGAAGACCCAAAGTTTCTGAGAAATACTTATCGAAACAGGAAGCATCACACTTGTGCAGGATAAAGCTTTCAAGAGCTTGCCCTTGATTTTAGCTCTTTTAGGTTAAACATTCCCATGACTTTTCTATTCAGCTAACAAGTGAACTTATTCCCTTACTCGATACAATTCCTACCTACACATTGGGACAAAGCTTCAGAGCCCAAAGGAGAGAGCCAATTGGCCCTAAAAATGCCTTGTCCACTCTGATGCCAAGGTGCCAAGGGCATGAAGCGACAGACCAGTCATAAGAGATAGCCGCCTAGACTTTTGTCATTGAAGGCTGCCAAAATCGGGTCCCTCCTCTCGGGGAGTATCTCCCTCCTCCCAAACTTCACTTGAGACTCTCATCATTACAACTGTCAGCTGCAAAATGTTTGCAGTTGCTCTCCACTTGTGCATTAGCAGAAAGCAGCTTGCTTTATTGGGTTAATTCAAAAGAGTTATCAAGGACTTACTGTGCGGCTGTAGGCACTAGAAAGACAGTAAAGAACAAATGATAAAAATCTGTCTTCCTGAAACTTACATTCTGGTAGAGGAGACCTTTCAAGAAACAAGCTAAAGAAACAAAATATGCAGTACACTAAACAATACATGCTCAAGAGAAGACAAAATGAAGCAGGCAAGGGGAATATACACTGTGGTGGGCTGGGTAGGAAAGGTTAGAATTTTAAGATTAAGTGGTCACACATAATCAGGCAGAGAGTATGTGCCTAAAGGGGTAGCCAGGGCAAAATCAGATGGAGTAAGAGAAAGGTGGTTAGCATATTTCAATAAGCCCTGAAGTGGAGAGGAAACCCTACGGGAAGGGGGAGAGGCAAAGATTGAACATAGACCCCTGAAGACAAACACAGATTTCACATTTTGCCAAGACCGGTCCTTTGAGTTGAGGATAGCACAACAGATGTTCTCCCTTTGTAGCCAAAGAACCAGGCTCTGCTGCTAAAACTCTCAGGCAGTTCATCAGACCCGGGGGAACGAACCCCCACACACACCGCTTAAAGCCGAGAGGAAGCGGTACTAATCCAGAGTGGAGGACTGGCCTGGGAAACCGGGCAGAGAGTTGTAAAGAACACACCAGAAGCCCCTCCAAGCCCAGACACTGATAAAACCCAGCGCCCTCTCAAGCCAATCTGTAAACCCAGGACGCACCATCGAGCGCACAGACACACCCCCGGGGTGCAGGGAGGAGAGGGGTGGGAGCTTAACCGTTAGGGCCCGAACCCCAGGACTCCAGAGGCAGGGTGGGTGCAGCGCGCGAGAAACGCCGTTTTCCGCTCCAGGCGCCGGCGGGCGGTGGCGAGAGCAGGTTCCCGGGGCCGGAGGGTGGGTTGCGGGCGGGAATGGCCGCCGCGAAGGAGGGGCGGCTTCCTCCGGCATCCCGGGCGCCAGCCCAGTGCATGCAACAGGGAGCTAAGGGCGAGCGGGTACCTCGAGGTCCTGGAGTGGGACCCGGGAGCAGGAACAGGGACAAAGTTCCCGAGGCCAATGGGCCTCGGGCCGACCCGTGCGCCCCCGGCCCAAACGCTCAGCTCCCGCTCCCCACGCCCGCGCGGACCCGGCCCCTCCGAGGGTAGCCGGTTCCAGCCGCGAACCCGCAGCGCCCGCGCAGCCACCCGCTCGGCCCTCTCCCGACCGGTGCGTGGGTCCAGGAGAGAAAAAGCGCGGCGGTGGCAGTGGCGGCGCGCGGTCCCACTCACCACTATCCGCAGCTGCTGTGGCGCGACAACCGGGGCGGGCGGCGATGCGCTGTCCAGGGTAGCCAGGTCCCTCTGCCAGGCACTGTCTCCGCATCCGCGCCGGTGACCCCCGCCCGCCCGCGCCTCCCCTCCCCCTCGGGCTCGCGTCTCCGCTGTGCAGCGCACGGATCCTCGGGGCCGTTTCGTCCCCGCCCCCTAGCCCACAGGGGCCTCGCGCGCCGCCCCGCCTGGAGGGCGCGCGGGGGAGGGGCGCAGGGCTAGCGAGGCAGCGCCCTCCTCCCCTGCGGCGCCGCGCACACCCTCCGGGGCGACCGCCCTCGCTCTCGCGGCTGCGGCGCTCCCTGGCGGCCTGGAGGTGATTTGCAGGCCCAGCCGGCGTTGGTTGCGCGGCGGCTCAACGTTCGCGGAACCCCAAGAGGACCCATCACCTGCCCGGATTGGCGGCGTCTGCCGCGGGGAGAAGGAGTAGCATGCAGGGCAGGCACACTGGTCCTGCTTCCAGCTGGGCTTCGTGGGTTTGAAGCACACATTAGGAGGAAATGGCTCTGTTCGTGCAGGTTTGCGGGGTTTGGTTTTCTTAGGTTTAGGGGGTGGAGTGGGTTTCTCTGGGGGTGCGGTGGGGAGCAGATCAGTTTGGATAACGGCCCTGAGCAGGAGGCACTGTCCCCCTCCCGGTCCGACCCGGGGCTTCCAGCGGACGCCACCGACGGTGAGCGCACTGTGAACAGAACGGTGCGCTTCTAGTTACTTTATTTTTGTGTGGGGCCCAAGTGAAAGACGTGGGAAGAATTGGACTTCCCTGAGTATTACATGAACTTTCCTCCATTTCACCCTTAAATTTGGGAAGTTGGTGGCTCCCCTTCTGTATCCACAGCATTTCAGGAGGCTGAGGCGGGCTGATCACTTGCAGTCAGGAGTTCGGGACCAGCCTGGGCAACATGGCAAAACCCCATCTCTTAAATAAAAAATACAAAAAATTAGCCGCAAGTGGTGGTGCGCGTGCCTGTGATCCCAGCCGCTTGGGAGGCTGAGGTGGGAGGAGCGCCTGAGCCCAGGAGGTCGAGGCTGCTGTGAGCTGAGATCGTGCCACTGCACTCCAGCCTGGGCGACAGAATAAGACCCTGTCTAAAAAAAAAGGTGAACTTGTGAGGCTCGTGTGGTAAACATGATTATTGGGGTTGAGAACAACATGTGTGGATGTGCACAGAGGTACCTGCCCCATGCACTTCCCATCCCACACCTCGGGTGGTACAGGCGCGCTTGCAGAGTTTTGTGTGGTAGCAGAGTAATGTAGGTACCAGGGCTCAATCTTAACTGTCACACAATCACCTAATATATAGTTTCCTAATGGAGGGTTTTTTAATGTTATATAGAAGTTCCTGTAGCTGAAGTGGTAAATGTTATGCACGTTTGTTTATAAAAGGTAGGTGATTTTATGACCATGAACAGGTAGATTAACCTGGTCTGATAAAGCCTGGGGAGACAGCTCTGCCACATAGTAGGTGTGTGGTATTGGGTTGGTTACCTAAACTCTCTGTGTTCCAGTGTCCTGATCTAAAAATTCGGGATAAAATAGCACTTAAATGACATGTGGCTGTTAGGGTTAAATTAATATCGCTAAAATGCTAGAAAAATATCTGGTACCGAAGTACTAGTTATTGATTTGTTACCAATTTTGAGAATCAGAAAGTGATATTCTATTTAATGCTGGTATATTTTTGTAAAAAGTGTGACCCAAATCAAAGATACAATTTGATTTCAGCTTCATAGTCACTTTGTTCACTCAGCAAAGCTTTCAGTACCTACTATGTGCTGGGCATTTTGGGAAGAGCTAGGGTTACAGTGATGAAGAAACACAGTCCCTGCTGTTGGGAGTTTTCAGAACCTATGATGATCTATATTATGATATTTAGAGACTTGAAGGAAATTCACACAAATAGTCCTCAACTATTGCTTTTCCTTGGATAACAGTATTATGGAATGATTTTCTTTTCTTCTTCTTCTTGTTCTTTTTTTGGAGTTCCACTCTGTCACAGAAACTGGAGTGCAGTGGTTACATCTTGGCTCACTGTGATTCAAGAGATTCTCCTGCCTCAGCCTCATGAGTGCCTGGGATTATAGACGCCCACCACCATGCCTGGCTAATTTTTGTATTTTTAGTAGAGATAGGGTTGGTCAGTCTGGTCTCAGACTCCTGACCTTGTGATCTGCCTGCCTCAGCCTCCCAAAGTGCTGGGATTGCAGGCCTGAGTCACCACACACAGCCGTTGATTTTATTCTTTTTAAAGATTGTTTGTATTGTCTATTTTACATGTGCTATGCTTTGAAAGCTGTATAAAAGTCACTTCCATGTGTTTTGGATATTGAATGATAAAAACTCTGGACCTGAATTTCATTGTATCACTAATCCAATGCAGTAGAATGTGAATTCTTAATTTAGACAGTGATTTTTAGACATTATTGTGTATAAATAGCACCAGAGGGTTTAATACAATGCAAGCATACCTGAGATCCATCAAGATGATCTCAGGTACAGACCAAGAATATGAATTTTTTTTTCCAGTTTTGCTTTTGGATTAATATTTGCTGTCAGTTTCACATCACAGGAATTCAAAAGGAGTATCTACTTCATTCTAGAGGCATCTGTGACCCTGCATAAAGCATAATGGAGTCTCTGTGGGTCTCGAAGTGGTGAAACCTCCATTCCCCAGGAATACAGATTTTGAACAAGCACCGCAAATGATGCTGGTACAGACAGGCAGTCCATGGACCATATTTTGAGAAACTTAATTCCATTATCCATTCAGGGAAATCTTCAGTCTATTTAACAACATAAAGGGAAGAAAAAATTTTTTAGGTGACAACGACCTTCAAGAACCCTGCTGCTGTTGCTTGCAAGAATTGTATCATTGATGTCATCTAGACCTTGCAAAGCACACCAGTTAAACATGGGGAAGGAATTTTCTTTTCTTTTTTTTTTTTCTTTTTTGAGATGGAGTCCCACTCTGTCACCAGGCTGGAGTGCAGTGGCCTGATCTTGGCTCACTGCAACCTCCACCTCCCAGGTTCAAGCAATTCTCCTGCCTCAGCCTCTTGAGTAGCTAGGATTACAGGTGAGTGCCACCACACCCAGCTAAATTTTGTATTTTTAGTAGGGACACGGTTTCATCATGTTGGCCAGGATGGTCTTGATGTCTTGACCTCATGATCCACCCACCTTGGCCTCTGAAAGTGCTGGGATTACAGGCATGAGCTGTAAGGAATTCTTAAACTTTTATTTATCTCTGTACTTCCACCCATTACCATTTAGCCTGATAATCATTATTTTACCTTTATTCTGTAAAAACACATGTAAATCCTTAAGGCCAGAAGGAGATCTAAAAAGTCATGTATATCTTATCTGTTTCCTGAAATATTATTTTATGGCTTTCCCTATTACTACAACAAAGGAACAAATGAGACAGCAAATGCCAGAGGGTCTTTTCCCCACCAATATTTTATTAGATAGAAAAAGGAAGTGGTGCCCTGGCTTAGTGGCTCATGCCTGTAATCCCAACACTTTGGAAGGCCAAGGCGGGTGGATGATGAGGTGAGGAGTTTGAGACCAGCCTCATGGTGAAACCCCATCTCTACTAAAAATACAAAAATTAGCTTAGCTGGGCATGGTGGCAAGCACCTGTAATCCTAGCTATCTGGAGGCTGAGGCAGGAGAATCATTTGAACTTGGGAGGTGGAGGTTGCTGAGATCACACCATTGCATTTCGGCCTAGGAGACAGGGTGAGATTCCATCTCAAGAAAAAAAAGAAAGAAAAAAAGAAGAGGTTCTACCTGTATAAGCACAGGACTGGAAAGGTACCTTAACCAAACATAACTGTGAAAGGGTCTTCACTGGCTATAACATGAATTCCCACTTATTCATCAGTGAAAAACTTAACATGCCATCACTTACATGATTTTATAGTATTTAATGTCATTGTTCTCTTGTATGGTTTACCCAAAAGCTTGAATCTTATGTTTCTTTAGCTGTACTCAAGCCCATATTGAGCGTGTGTCCAATAACATACACTAATTGCGTGTTTGGTACTTACGTGGAGGTGGTGCTATATAAAGTGATCATTTGCATAATCTAAGAATCTTAAACCTAAAAATAGACATCAAACTGATTATCTTTCTTTCCCTCTGTCACATATCTTAGATTTTGTAGGTGAAGAAAGTGTGTCTCAGAGGAGTTAGAGAAGACCAGTTAATAGATGACAATGCTACAGCCTGGAACTCCCATTTGGATCCTGGGTCTCCTATCTCACTCAGCCTGGGTGAGTTTTCTGTGTCTCTACTGCCTCTCCCGTGCTAGTCTGCCAGCCATCATCACAATTGTGAAGTAGGTAAGCTTTGTTTTGGAGAGTTTAATCTCCTTTTAGTGTGGTTCTCTTCTGAAGCATCCCTTTTGATATACCTAGCATCTTTCTGTTTTATCTTGAGAAAAATTCTCACTTATAATGTATTGTGACTTTAAATCAATCTACTACATTTCTTAAAGTATTTGTACTTTTAGGGCAGTTGTAGAAACAGACTCTGGAAATCACATCCTTTCCTTGGCCATGTGCTCTGCTTTGTGTAAAGAAAGGTCTGCACCTGTGTGAGTTTAGAAATGAAAAATAATAAGATAAAGAGTAAAGAGCAAGCCCAAACGAAGGCACGTTGACTCTGGAAATCACATCCTCTCTCGCTAGAATGAGAGTAATTTAAATAAGAGACTAGACTAGCAACTCATAATGAATCATTTTGAAGTTTATGATTTTCTAGCCTGTAGTTAAAACTTGTCAGAAATAGCTGATGTGTAGCAAATGATTTTTACAACATTATGTAAAGTTGGTTTTTTTTTGAGATGAGATCTCTTTTTTTTTTTTTGAGCGGGAGTCTTGCTGTGTCACCCAGGCTAGAGTGCAGTGGCACAGTCTCAGCTCACTACATCCTCCCCCTCCCAGGTTCAAGCAATTCTCCTGCTTCAGCCTCCCAAATAGCTGGGATTACAGGTGCATGCCACCATGCCCAGCTAATTTTTGTATCTTAGTAGAGATGGGGTTTCACCATGTTAGCCAAGCTGGTCTCAAACTCCTGACCTCAAGGGATCCACCTGTTTTGACCTCGCAAAGTGCTGGGATTACAGGCGAGAGCCACCACACCTGGCCAAGATGGGATTCCCTTATGTCGACCAGGTCGGGGAGCCCTAGTTTATTCGGCGTGCAGTCACGTGGTCCTCAAGATCTGAAAGGAAAAGAGACCTCAGAGAAGCATCAGGGGTGACCTCACCTGCAGCAAATCATTTCCAGTGTCTCTGCAGGGCTGAGGCTCTGAGCGGGTGCAGGACAGGGTCCCACACATTGCTCATGGCCTCCCCACACTCACACTGCCTGGTGAGCATTTTCAGGAGGACCAACAGCCCCTTCAGGTCCCATCTGCCCATGTTAATTATGCTGAAGGGTTCCCAGGAGGATCCTGAAGTCCTGGGTACCAGACTGTGCTGAAGTCACAGTGGTGGGGGTGTGGTCCCCAAAGCATCTGGGGGGGCCACTTGTGCTGCTGGGTTCCTGGCTGTCTAGTGTGGCATTGGTCTTTCTGCTGTGAATGGTTTCCCCTTTTTGATAACAGCAGCACAAAGCAGTACCCCTCAGAGGCCTGATGGAGGAATGAGCCTTCAGCTAGGGCCTGGTTGAAGGGGTGCTTTTGAAATAGGCAGGTGTCCTGGGTGTGAGGAGAGCGTTGATGGCAAGACCCAGCAGCCCCGAGGGATGGAGGGGGTGATGGAAATGGGGGCTTTCATAAGGCAGGTTCCAGCTTCCCAGGAACCCGGTGTTTCTGTGCCAGGCAGTGAATCTGTTGGTACAGACAACCATCAGCACCCATCAGGGAGCTTCCTCATGGGTCCCTAGGGAGCCTGAGGAAGGTCCAGAAGGCACCGCCCTCGTGCATGGCTGGGGCTCAGTGTGCACAGCCTTGAGCATGCAGTGACCCTGCCCACTACTGATGCTGGCCAGGGATGGTACTGGAGTTCCACCATTCAGATAAGATTCTCCTTCCCCAGTAAAGAGCAGGACCAGGAAGCACGAAGCAGGCTGGGGAAAGGGTGGGAGTGTTGTGGGGCCCTTGTCTCCCCAGTGTGATGCTGTCCTTAAAATCCACTTTGGGGGCGAGGCTTCCCCAGGTGTGAATACTGACTCTCCCTCCACCCAATGCCAGTTTGCAACCCCAGAGAGAAGGTCTCTGTGGGCCCCACTTGAGCTCCCTAAGAGCCCCTGTGAGTCCATCCCTCTGCCAAGCTGCTGTGCCCCCTCTGGAAGTGGCACCACCAATACCATCACCTGAAGTGGAAAATTCTGGCTTACTCTTCAGCCTGTGACTATGACGTCACCATTACGTTTGGCCTCAGCCCCAACCCCTTTGACCTTTACTAATAGGTTCTGGCCAACTAAGGATCATTGTCTGATTTGAGGTTGTTGTGGAAACCGGCTGGGGCAGCTTTGAGCTATTGAGAAGCGGTGGGCCCGTGGGGCATTTAGACTATACTTCAAATCTGATTCCCAGTCCAGCACTCCCACCCCCAGCGGCTCCATTTATCTGTCCACTTGCCAAGAAAGGGCCCAGGGCAGAGTGCGGGGCTCAGGGAGGGAGAGCAAGGCTCGGGTACAAACTGGGATTCATAACTCATATTTACGCTGAATGTTAGGAGTTAAACTCAATGAAAGAGTCTTAGAAACCATATCCTAGTTTTCAAAGCAGCATATATCCAAATGTTAAAATCTGTATGCATTGGCATACAGAATAACCATACTTTATTAAGAATTTTAGAAAGAAAGATATATGGAGGGCCAATGAAACCAGTTATTTAATTTATGCTCACATTTCATAAATTCACTGTGAGGTGTGAACTTTCTCAATGCACTGCCATGTATCAACAACTTTCAGAGTCAATCATGGGTAGCTGTATGGACCTCGCCTAGCAGTAGAGGAAAGCAAAATCCAAGACACAGATTTTAGTAAGGTCTAGAAAGTGCCTGATCCAGCCGGGCACAGTAGTGGCTCAGACCTGTAATCCCAGAACTTTGGGAGGTCGAGGCTGGTGGATTGCTGAGCTCAGGAGGTTTAGACTATCCTGGCAACAAGGCAAAACCCCGTCATGTTGCCACCATAGCTAGGTAAAATACAGAAATTAGCTGGCTGTGGTGGCACCCATCTGTAATCCCAGCTACTCAAGAGGCCAAGGTGGGAGGATGACTTCAGCCTGGGAGGCAGAGGTTGCAGTGAGCTGAGATAGCAGGACTGCACTCCAGCCTGGGTTACAGAGTGACACCCTGGAAAGAGAAGAAAGAAAAGGGAAGGGAAGGGAGGGAAGAAGAGGGGAGGGGAGCAGAGGGGAGGATGTGTTTGGTGACAGTTCCCAACTCTGTGAATGTTCTAAAATGTACTAAAAAATCCTGAACTGTATGCTTTAGGTGTGTGAATTGCATGGTATGTGAATGACCTCGACACAGATGCGATTAAAAACAACAGAAATCAGCTAGAGGTGCATGGTGGCTGCCCTTAGACTTGGCCAGTGTGTTTGCTTGCCACAGTCTCCACCTCCCCGTTACTCCCTGACACTGCACCTTGGGGCCAGGTCCGTTTAGCACAGCACTTCCAGCTGTGTTCCTCACACCCCGCTGCCTCCCCTCACCGACTGTACACCTATCCTGCCCTAGAGGAAGTTAATTTAGTGACAGTCTATGTGAAGATAGTCAGTAGGTGCAAAAAGCCAAAGAAAGGTGCCCTGGGTGTGTTTCTGAATGGAGACTGTGGGACATGGTCACTGCAAAGGTGAACTTTGGCCTTTCCTGGAGCCAGGAAGTCATTTCCTGCTGCTGTGAGCTACCTACCTCCATGAGCCAGGCAAAGCCAAGAGCAAACCCGAGTATCAGGATGGCAGGAGACCCACAGTCAGGGCACCTCTAGCCCATCCACAGTGCTGCACCATCTGAGTCCCCACCACACACCAAGCACCGGATCAACCCAGGCCTCGCTGGGTCCGGGGAAAGTCTCCGAAGCTGGCCTGACTGCAACACTCCTCAATCACCGGGAACCACCCCTTTTAACAGAGGAATGCAGGTCTTGGGCTTACAGCAGCTCAAAGGCTACAGCACAACAGTGGTTTAATGACATGCTGGGGTGGGTGTCACTGCCACTGTTGTATCAAACCGATGAGCTTTGGGCTGCCTTGGATTGATGACTTAGAGAGGGTGTGTTACACTTTCCGTAGTAAGAGCTCCCTTCTAAAGTAAGTTCTGTGTGTGATTGCATCATAACCCATCACGCAGATATGCAGACGTGTCTGAGTGTTTGTTTGTTTTTACTCTTTTCATTCTATTCTTCCCTATATTTTTGAAAGAACAAAAACATTTTGACCATCCAAACACTCTGATTAGAAAAGAACGGCGCGAAAGTACAAATGACGACATAAAAATAATCAGCCAGCCTCCCTGTCAACATGGGGAAATAGAAAAAGTGGGAATAGAATAAGATAATGGAAAGCAGAACACTAAATTCTTCCATGCCACCAGCACAGATAAGTCAACACTTGCAAGAATAGGGAGAGGGTCAAGAAATCAACCTGGGGAAACAGAGAAAGGTGCAACCTCTTTACAAGCAATTTTCTTGATTGTTGTTAGAGTGCTGCTTATGTAATAATATTTTAATTTTAATGGAAAGATTGACAGAAAGGAAACCATGAGGTAACAGTGTGGGTAGTTTGTGGACATGGAATGAAAATCATAAAGGTAACCTGGGTGCGGAGGGTCACACCGGTAATGCCAGCACTTTGCGAGGCCAGGGCGGGTGGATCCCTTGAGCCCAGGAGTTCGAGACCAGCTGGGCAACATGGTGAGACCCCATCTCTACAAAAAAATACAAAAATTAGCCGGGTGTAGTGGTGTGCACAGCCAGGTGGTGGTAGTCACAGCTACTCCGGAGGCTGAGTTGGGAGGATTACTTAAGCCCAGGAGGTCAAGGCTGCAGTAAGCTATGATCCTGCCACGGCACTCCAGCCCAGGCAACAGAGTGAGACCCTGTCTCAAAAATAAAAAAAAAATCACAGAGGTAGCATGAAAATGACTAAAGTTGCAGAATAAATCAGAGACTCCAACAGCTTTGCTAGTTATACCTGATGACATTAAGTGACAGCTTTTAAAATACCAATCTATGAACATCACAATGGCCCAGAGGAAGAATGAAAATCACCCTGGGCACCAAAGACCCAAACTTACCATGGTGATGGCCCTGGTTTCCTGGTAGGCCATCTTGATGTCATCCACAGCACTGGTATTGAGGAAGAAGTCACCTGAGTTTTTCCTGAAGTGGAGCTCCACCGGCAGGAGGCAGATTCAGGGAGAGTTGGGCTGTGTTTTGGAGAGTGAGGGGGTCCCCTGGTGGGTCTTACCCAGGCAGCCGGCAGGGCATGGGCTGTATCTGGAAGCCAAGACGGTCCTAGAAGGTCACCTCTTCCAGGCTCACCCTCACATCCTCTACCAGGATGAGCTCTGTGGAGACCGATGAAGGCACTGGAGGGTCATGCTGAAGGGCAAGGGCAAGGCCATGAGATGCAGGAGGCCACAGGACACCCATGCACCAATACCAGGTCATCCTGCAGGCCGCCCTTCAAAAAGAACAGGCCCAGAAGCCCCAGGGCCTGGCCTTGCTCCCAGCCACAAGCCTGATAAGCCCCTGGTGCTCCTGAGCCCCGTGGAATGGCCAAGGCCTATTTGAGGCCTCCCATCAGGCCCCCAAGGTGGAGTCAGTTACCGACTCCTGCACTCCAGACCCAGGATGCATTGGCAGCAGTCCCACTTAAGTGCCTCCCCACCCTACCAGGCCCCAGTGGTGGGTGACTCTCACACACACCCTGCCCTTCAAGACCTCACAGCAAAGGGCCAGCTTCAGAGCATGTGGCAGACACCACTCCAGGCAGGGACAGGAAGGCCACTCTCGGCCAGGCTAGGCAGTGTGGGTGGGTCCCCTGGAAGAGTGGCCAAGCCTGGCTCGCAAGAGAACAAGGACAGCCTTCATGCCCTAGGGCGGCACATGACCCAAGGGAGCCACCCAGATCCGAGGTCCCCAGGGAGTCGCGTGTTTGAGCACCTCCTCGGGTCCACAGTTGTGCCAGGCGTTCAGGGTGCAGCAGCTGCCCTCAGGGAGAGGCGACTCCAATGCACATATGGAAGAGCAGGAGCAGGCCAAGTGTGGTGGCTCTCACCTGGAATCCCAGCACTTTGGGAAGCCAAGGTGGGAGGATCACTTGAGCCCAGGGGTTCATGACCAGCCTGGCCAACATGGCAAAATACAAAAAATGAGCTGGGTGTGGTGGTGCATGCCTGTAATCCCAGATACTCAGGAAGCTGAGGCAGGAGAATCACTTGAACCAAGGCAGCGGAGGTTGCAGTGAGCTGAGATCATGCCATTGTACTCTGGCCTGGGTGACAAAGTGAGACTCTGTCTTGGGGAAAAAAAAAAAAAAGGAAAAAAAGTGCAGAATCCTGGGGAGAACATGTCAGGGTGTTCAGGCTCCAGGCAGAAGGCTACGACACCCCCCCCATTGCTGACCAAGGGATTCCTAGTGCCAGTGAGGTCTGAGCCAACAGGGACAGGCACAGGTGTGCCCCTTCAGGGGCCGTCTCCCTCCAGACCAGCCTCCTGAGTGCTGCCCTCATGGGCCTCAGTCTCTTCCAAATCTTGCTCCCCAGGAGGCAATAAAAGCACCTCATCCTGGCATTTAGGAACCCTGGGAATCCAGCCCCACTTTCTCCTTCCAGTCTGTGCCTGCTGCCTCCACCTAAATGTAGAAGGACCTACATTTCCTGGTGGCCATGCCCTCTGTGGGGTGGCTGTCATTCATGCAGGGCTATTCCTGGGGAGCCCTTCCCTTCCACCCTCCAGTGCACCTACGGGGCCCCTACTATTAATAGCAACACCTCCACCTGGGGCAGAGTCAGGTTGTGAGGGCTGTGGCCCAGCGAGGGGCTCAGAACTGTTCCACAACCCCAGTGCTGGAATACAGGCTCAGCCTCTGTCCTGGGACTTGAGTGCTCCCAATCTGGCCCCTGTCACTCGTTCAGACTAGCACATCCCTCCAGAGAGCCACCCTCAGTCATCCTGGGCCTTTGCAGAGGCTACCCTCCTGCCCTTGTCTCTACTCACTTAGGCGATCCCTCCTCACACCGCAGGGCTCAGCACACTGGCCTCCAGAAAGCCCCACTTCTTCCCTCACCAGCGCTGACCTGAGGCCCAGGCCACTCTTTGGCCCCCACTTCACCTGGTGCTTCTCACGCTGAAGGAGCTTCATGTCTGGGGGGGCCTTCCTGAAGAGGCTATGGGCTCATGGAGGGTAGGGTATGTCTGTTTCTTCTCTGTCCATTACATAATCTCAACCACATGAGGAAGGAAAAACCCTACAAGGAAAGGAAAATATTCTCTCCCTTCTCAACCATTGAGAGATGAAAGAAAAGGAATTGAATATGTTGCATGTAGACATTAGGAGTTCTTCAAAATCCAAAAGCTATTTCAGATTTTGAAATTACAAATGATTGAAAACCACCATGGCACGTTAAACCTATGTAACAAACCTGCACAATCTACACATGTACCCCAGAACTTGAGAGTACAATAAATATAGAAAAAGAAACTACAAATGAAAATGCTGTTGAAGTGTTGTACCAGTTTAAATAGCTGGGAAACGAAATATCAACCTCTATAACCCATCTAGACAAAAGCACTTACTTTTTAAAAGAGGAAGATGTTTTGGGGACCAAAAGAGAGAAAACCTCTGTGAAAGATCCCCAGCCATGATTGGCCCCTGCTTTGCTCTGAGCTCATGAAAAGCCTTTGTGATGTCATAACAGACAGGCCTATATAAGGCCCTGGCTGGGTCATGGTTTTTGGTCTGAGAAATCCCTGGAAGCTTTTTTGGTGACCTGTGGACTCAGACCAGCTTAGCGATTATTACGAGTTGTTTGGCGGGGTGGGGGGAGTTTTTGTGGGAGGGGCGTTGTTGTGTTTTTTAGTTAGTATAGTTAATATAGTTGGTACTGTTTCTTAGCATTTTAGTGTTCTTTGGGATAATTAGTATTGTTAATATTTTAGCGTAGTCCATAGAGTTAGAGTAGTTATTTGTATATAGTTAGTGTAGACAAAGTAGGCACCATGAGGCAGGGCTTGGCCTCCACCTCACCTGCCCTGCAGCCACCTTATTATCAAATACTAAACTTTATAGGCCGTGGTGCCTTTGGGGAGGTCACGCTGGCCCGCCACTTAATGACTGGCATCCGGGTGGCGGTGAAAACAATCAACAGAACCGGCTTCCTCTCTAGCCACAGAGAGATGACTGTTTTACAGTCGGTCCGCCACGGCAACATCATTAACCTTTACCAAATGATTAACAGCAGAGAGGCGTGCCATTTCGTTTTAGAATATGCTGCGGGAGGAAGCCTGGCCAACTGGCTTGACCACCACATAGTGGAGGAGGAGGAGGCCCGAGGCAAGTTCCAACAAATGCTGTCCGCCGTGAGCTACCTCCACCGCCGAAGCATCGCTCACCGAGACCTGAAACCTGACAACATGCTGTTAGATGGCAAAGGGAACATAAAAATTGCGGATTTTGGATCAGCCATAACTTTTTATGAGGGGCAGAGGCTGACAGGAGGTCATGGGACCCTCCCCTACATGGCCCCAGAACTCTTTGGGGCCCAGGGCTATGAATGTCCCGCCATGGACATATGGAGCCTAGGCGTCACGTTATACCAGATGGTGTCCAACAGTCTGCCCTTCTTCGCAGTGAGTCGTTTCCAACTGATATCCCTCATTCTATCTGGCCAGTATGTTAGTCGGCACTCTTTTTCAGAAGGCCTAAAAAGCCTAATTAAAAACCTTTTAACTTCTGATCCCAATGAACGGCCGACAGCAGACAAAGTCTTGAGGGACCCGTGGGTGAACAACGGCCAGGACTTGCCTCCAGCGACATATGAAGAGCCAATTGAAGACCACCCGAACTGTGAGACCATAAGGCTCTTGGTGGCCATGGGATTGAAGCCAGAAAACATCGTAAAGGCAATTGAAGACAACGTCTTTAATTATCCCATGGCCATCTACCGTATTTTAGATGGAGAAAAAAAGCCATCCATTACCACTCCACAGTCTCTTGCTCCTGGGGATCCTACATGTTTAGTCACTGAGATTTCCAGTTCACCTGCCGGCCTTCACAGGAAGTCAGACCCCCAGCATGCCCCCACGGCCTCCCTGACCATCGAGCACAATTGTGGAGATGTAGAAAACTTGGCACGGCAAGCCCTCCAGTGTGACCGTGTGGCCTCCTCTATTGTGAGCGCCATAGGCGGTGGTGGTGCTTTAGAAACCTTGGCAGAGCAAGCCCCCCAGCGTGACCTCGTGTCTGCAGCCTCCAGCAAGTGCTCCACTGGCAGTGAAAATTTAGAAACTTTGGCTCAACCAGCCCTCTCACATAACCTCACGGCCGCCTCCACCCAGATCACCACCCAGAGCACCGTGGCTCAACAACCAGGACACGAAGGCAGCGTTTTCCAAGCTGGGCAGCCCGAGGCTATGTTGGCCCGGCCAACAAGAGGCTGGAGCTGCCGCAGGGCTGCCCGAAAGTGCATTGCCATAATAAGGAGATGCTGTTGCTGCCTCTGTCCACCCAAGAGGCAGAGTAAGAGGGCCCACCCAAGAGAAAAAGTAAGTAGGTGGGCGGTGAAGTCGCACTTCTTGCATTTTACTATATTTATTCTGTCTTGATTGGTATTGTTTTAATTGGCAAATCTCTGGGGCCGGAGAGTGGCAGAGGGAGGGAATGGGGGGTATTGGTCAAAGGACCAAAGTCTAGACAGGAGGAAGAGGTTTTGACTCTAGTGCACAGCAGGGTGACCAGAGTCAATAAGAATGTATTGCATTTTGCAAAACATGTTCATGTCAAATGTCTCTGCATTTAGATTGGAGAGGACGAAGGCCCGAAACCTGAGATTCCCAGGAGCAACGTTGGAGCCTGCAGCACTTTATATTAAAAAATATAAAAATAAATGTATCATTCTGATAAATGACCATTTCTTGCTTCTTGCAAATTTTGTAGTAGCATTGGAAAGGTGGAATGTGGGTGGCAGACACTCTGCTGCTTTGTGCCCTCCCTGCACAGGACCGGGGCTAAGAGAAGGGCAAGGCGTGAGGCAAAGGAAAAGGCAGATTTACTAGCACCTGCCTTAGTTGAAAGAAAAGCAGGGATAATGAAAGGATGGAGGAGGACGTGGAAGAGAGCAAGAAAAAGATAGAGCTAAACCAGAGTCTAAACCTGGTCCAGACTGGAGAACGGTCTATAAAGATCATGCGGTTTACCCCCATGAGCACTGGAGGCTCACTGTCTCACACTACTACTATTGCGGCCATAGGAGTATCAGGTAAAAACGAACAAAAACAAACCCTTTTGCCAATCAAAATATGTCACTGGAAGGCAAGAGGTGTGGCACAAGTTCTTATGCCCTGTTCCTTTTTTGGGGAGGAATCTGCTCCCAAAACTACAAGTACAAATTTCTTTTAAGCCTAAAGATAACAAGACTTTAGATTTTAAGTAACCAAAGACTATGGTATTAGCCTTCACAGTGGCAATTATTTGCTAGGGATATTTCTTACACAAGAAATCTCCCTCGCTTCGGCCTACCTGCCACCATCCAGTTGAACAACGGTCCAGCATTTACTGCCCAAGTTGTCCAGCTCATTGCTGAGTCCCTCAACATCTAGATACTACACATCCCTTACCATCCTCAGTCATTGGGTAAAGTTGAACAGGCCAATGGCATCCTCAAAGACCATTTGGCCAAACTTGCTATTGAGGTAAAACTCTCTTGGCCCACACTCCTACCTCTTGCCCTGGCCCATATCCGGGCCACCCCACGGGGGCCAATGGGCCTGAGCCCCTTCGAATTGCTGTACAGCTGGCCTTTTCTGGTTTCCCATAATCTCCCTGCGTGACCGCCACCACTGGCCTCCTACCTTTCGTTTCTCTCTCTCCTGCACCAAGTACTTAGGGAGCATACCGACTGCACTTCTCCCTGTGGTTCTGGGACCAGAGGACCCCCACCCGGCAGCACCTCTCCAGCCAGGTGACAGCGTTCTCCTCCAAGAGCTCAAACCAGGATCTTTGCAACGCAGGACTCCTGGACTAAGGGCCCCACCACCAGGACCCATAATCTTGCACAGGCAAACTGCCAAACAGGCAGCTGTCAGTCTACTGTCTCCATCCTCATCCCACATGGTAAAAGCACCATACTCGGTCACAATCATGGGTTTAACTTTCAGCATGGGTTGTGTTTTCTATATGACCAAACCAAGGACTACTGTCATTGGTGGAACATCACCTATGGGGGGTGCCGGTACAACTCTTGTGTTATTCACAAGCCACAGCCTCCAAGCTGTCCCAACTACTAAAACGCTACCATGTTCCTTTTGTAAATTAGGTTTACTATCATAAATCATTTTCTGCTCACAATTTTAAAAGTAAGCAGAAGCACCCTATTTTAATACATTTCTTAACACTAATCTCACCAGTACTTGCTTCATATAAGATAGAAGATAGAACATGTGTAACAGTCTTAAAGTTCTAAGTGCAAACTTTGGAATATTTTGCATTTGTTCTCCTTTTGAAGGAAATAAATATGCTCTCTACATTGAATATGTATTCTTTAAAATTGCTCTCAAGGAGACATGCAAATACATTGCCTCAATTATTTTTTCATTAGACACACTCATTGTTTATTCAGCATGTGCTCAGTACCACTCAATAAGAGGCAGTGTGTGGGCACTATGAATTTAAATATAAAAGACAGCCCCTAGGGTTACAGTGATGAAGAAACACAGTCCCTGCTGTTAGGAGTTTTCAGAACCTATGATTATCTATATTATGACATTTAGAGAATTGAAGGAAATTCACACAAATAGTCCTCAACTATTGCTTTTCCTTGGATAACAGTATTATGAAATGATTTTCTTTTCTTCTTCTTCTTGTTCTTTCTTTGGAGTTCCACTCTGTCACAGAAGCTGGAGTGCAGTGGCTACATCTTGGCTCACTGCAATTCAAGAGATTCTCCTGCCTCAGCCTCATGAGTACCTGGGATTATAGGTGCCCACCACCATGCCTGGCTAATTTTTGTATTTTTAGTAGAGATAGGGTTGGTCAGTCTGGTCTCAAACTCCTGACCTTGTGATCTGCCTGCCTCAGCCTCCCAAAGTGCTGGGATTGCAGGCCTGAGTTACCGCACCCAGCTATTGATTTTATTCTTTTTAAAGCTTGTTTGTATTGTCTATTTTACATGTGTTATGCTTTGAAAGCTGTATAAAAGTCACTTCCATGTGTTTTGGATATTGAATGATAAAAACTCTGGACCTGAATTTCATTGTATCACTAATCCAATGCAGTAGAATGTGAATTCTTAATTTAGACAGTGATTTTTAGACATTATTGTGTATAAATAGCACCAGAGGGTTTAATACAATGCAAGCATACCTGAGATCCATCAAGATGATCTCAGGTACAGATCAATAATATGAATTTTTTTTCCAGTTTTGCTTTTAGATTAATATTTGCTATCAGTTTCACATCACAGAAATTCAAAAGGAGTATCTACTTCATTCTAGAGGCATCTGTGACCCTGCATAAAGCATAATGGAGTCTCTGTGGGTCTCGAAGTGGTGAAACCTCCATTCCCCAGGAATACGGATTTTGAACAAGCACCGCAAATGATGCTGGTACAGACAGGCAGTCCATGGACCATATTTTGAGAAACATAATTCCATTATCCATTCAGGAAAATCTTCAGTCTATTTAACAACATAAAGGAAAGAAAAAAATTTTTAGGTGACAACGACCTTCAAGAACCCTGCTGCTGTTGCTTGCAAGAATTGTATCATTGGTGTCATCTAGACCTTGCAAAGCACACCAGTTAAACATGGGGAAGGAATTCTTTTTTTTTTTTTGAGATGGCGTCCCACTCTGTCACCAGGCTGGAGTGCAGTGGCCCGATCTCGGCTGACTGGAACCTCCACCTCCCAGGTTCAAGCAATTCTCCTGCCTCAGCCTCTTGAGTAGCTAGAATTACAGGTGAGTGCCACCACACCCAGCTAATTTTTGTAGTTTTAGTAGAGACAGGGTTTCATCATGTTGGCCAGGATGGTCTTGATGTCTTGACCTCATGATCCACCCACCTTGGCCTCTCAAAGTGCTGAAATTACAGGCATGAGCTGTAAAGAATTCTTAAACTTTCATTTATCCCTGTACTTCCACATTACCATTTAGCCTAATATTCATTATTTTACCTTTATTCTGTAAAAACACATGTAAATCCTTAAGGCCAGAAGGAGATCTAAAAAGTCATCTATATCTCATCTGTTTCTTGAAATATTATTTTATGGCTTTCCCTATCACTACAACAAAGGAACAAATGAGACAGCAAATGCCAGAGGGTCTTTTCCCCACCAATATTTTATTAGATAGAATAAGGAAGTGGTACCCAGGCTTAGTGGCTCATGCCTGTAATCCCAACACTTTGGAAGGCCAAGGCGGGTGGATGATGAGGTGAGGAGTTTGAGACCAGCCTTATGGTGAAACCCCATCTCTACTAAAAATACAAAAATTAGCTTAGCTGGGCATGGTGGCAAGCACCTGTAATCCTAGCTATCTGGAGGCTGAGGTAGGAAAATCGTTTGAACTTGGGAGGTGGAGGTTGCAGTGAGCTGAGATCACACCATTGCACTTCAGCCTAGGAGACAGGGTGAGATTTCATCTCAAGAAAAAAAAAGAAGAGGTTCTACCTGTATAAACACAGGACTGGAAAGGTACCTTAACCAAACATAACTGTGAAAGGGTCTTCACTGGCTATAACATGAATTCCCACTTATTCATCAGTGAAAAACTTAACATGCCATCACTTACATGATTTTATAGTACTTAATGTCATCGTTCCCTTGTATGGATTACCCAAAAGCTTGAATCTTATGTTTCTTTAGCTGTACTCAAGCCCATATTGAGCGTGTGTCCAATAACATACACTAATTGTGTGTTTGGTACTTACGTGGAGGTGGTGCTATATAAAGTGATCATTTGCATAATCTAAGAATCTTAAACCTAAAAATAGACATCAAACTGATTCTCTTTCTTTCCCTCTGTCACATATCTTAGATTTTGTAGGTGAAGAAAGTGTGTCTCAGAGGAGTTAGAGAAGACCAGTTAATAGATGACAATGCTACAGCCTGGAACTCCCATTTGGATCCTGGGTCTCCTATCTCACTCAGCCTGGGTGAGTTTTCTGTGTCTCTACTGCCTCTCCAGTGCTAGTCTGCCAGCCATCATCACAATTGTGAAGTAGTTAAGCTTTGTTTTGGGGAGCTTAATCTCCTTTTAGTGTGGTTCTCTTCTGAAGCATCCCTTTTGATATACCTAGCATCTTTCTGTTTTATCTTGAGAAAAATTCTCACTTATAATGTATTGTGACTTTAAATCAATCTACTACATTTCTTAAAGTATTTGTACTTTTAGGGCAGTTGTAGAAACAGACTCTGGAAATCACATCCTTTCCTTGGCCATGTGCTCTGCTTTGTGTAAAGAAAGGACTGCACCTGTGTGAGTTTAGAAATGAAAGATAATAAGATAAAGAGTAAAGAGCAAGCCCAAACGAAGGCACGCTGACTCTGAAAATCACATCCTCTTTTGCTAGAATGAGAGTAATTTAAATAAGAGACTAGACTAGCAACTCAGAATGAACCATTTTGAAGTCTATGATTTTCTTGCCTGTAGTTAAAAATTGGTCAGAAATAGCTGAGGTGTAGCAAATGATTTTTTACAACATTATGTAAAGTTGGGTTTTTTTTGAGATGAGATCTCTTTTTTTTTTTTTTTTTTTTTTTTAGCTGGAGTCTTGCCCTGTCACCCATGCTAGAGTGTAGTCTCAGCTCACTACATCCTCCCCCTCCCAGGTTCAAGCAATTCTCCTGCTTCAGCCTCCCAAATAGCTGGGATTACAGGTGCATGCCACCATGCCCAGCTAATTTTTGTATCTTAGTAGAGATGGGGTTTCACCATGTTAGCCAAGCTGGTCTCAAACTCCTGACCTCAAGGGATCCACCTGTTTTGACCTCCGAAAGTGCTGGGATTACAGGCGAGAGCCACCATGCCTGGCCAAGATGGGATTCCCTTATGTTGACCAGGTCGGGGCACTCAAGGGATCCTCCTGCCTTAGCCTCATGAGAAGCCAGGATTATAGGTGTATGCTACCACAAATTATTTTCATTATTATACGTTATGGAAGATGTTATTGTAAATGTAGTTGATAATAAAATTTACATGGATGCACAAAATT